TGACTTGCAAACAATGAGAACTATGGTAATGCTTCAGAAGCCGTTTAATTTATTGATTCCATCACCATCTTTTCCTCCTCCACACATCCATGTGGGTGTGACCTTATTAGTAGTCGTGACAAAATGGTTTTCCCAGTTTATTTAATTTGTCCTAGGTGCGTTACAAATAATGGTTCTACTTTAAACCCTGGCATTAAGTTAAGAATTGCTCTCTTTTACGTTAAACAAGTCAATCAAGCTAGATCAAAGGGCCATTTGTTATCAGTACACGCATTGAGGATCCCACAACCAAAAGAGCATGGTGTATAATTCAGCAGCGCTCACATTAGAGCCTGCAACAAATGTCATTTAAGTCTTGGATAATAGGGATGCTATTATCTAAATTTCAATTTCAACTAATTATATTCTAGGCTTTTTGAGACTACAGGAATCAGGAGACAAAAGCAGTTTTTTTTTCCTAAATACCTCAGATGCTGCTAATTGTACCACTAGCTTCAGATGGACATTAAAGGATCATAAAGCTTTGCAGCTCTTCTTTCACCCATGATGCATTGCTCCACTGCAGTCTTTTTGTGTATCGTATCACTAAAACGGATCTCATGACTGTCAGGTGTAGATTAGCTTTGACAACCCAACTTTATATCGCCACCTGTTAGGAAAAACTAGCAGCAGATCAAGGATTAAAAGTATGATCTGAAAACAGTTCAAGATTTTGTCCACTGCCAAGCCTCAGCTTTTTTTTTTTTTTTCTCATATGTTCTATTTAGCAGTTAGAGCATTTTTGGTGCTTGCTAAGAAAAAAAAAGGAAGTTCACCAGAGGTGGTTCAAAGAAAAAGCTGTTATTCCTGAAAAGCTGGAGTAGTTGAACAGTATCTAAAATCTGTTTCTTAGAAATAAAGCAAAGATCTGATATAGGAGATATCATCCTGAAGTTAGTTATGTACTCTATGATTTTGAGTTATATGAAAACAAAGGACTAAAAGATCCTATGAAAAACTATATCTGCTCTAAGCTGTCAGCTCAAAATTAATTTAAAAAAGCAGCCAAAGTGCAAAGCAAACTTTGATTACAAAAAAAAAAACAAAAAAAAAACACATGAGCAGATTAGAAACTCTCACTGGCTGCAATGAATCATACTACATAAAAAATAAAAAAATGAAGATATGCCATGTAATTCTTGCAATAAATCTTAAGAGATAAATGTGCTGTAGATCTGTTCTTAGGCCTCAAAATAGAAATTGTCTATATCTACTAATGTAGCATCAATATTCAATCACCCATTGCCCATTCTTAGATTCACTGGAAAATGAAGTTGCTCAAGACTGATTATTTTCTGTTTGTTTGTTGTTTAGCATATCTTTATATATTGGTTTATTTTGCTTATGTTTCTGTTTTATTTTCACTTTACATCCTCGATCAAGACAGCTACTAGAGCCCGGTGGTTTCTCTCTGCTTCTCCGCCCCCTGTGACGCTGGGCTTCTTGCCCAGACAGTGAGGCAGCATCCTCCTTGTCTGCAAGCTGCAGCTCAATCAGGCCTCTGACGTAACAGTCAAGTGACAGGCTACCGGTTTTCAGTGTAAAAAAAAAAAACAATAAAAAAAAAAAAACAAAACAAGGAAAGCTAAGGACACTGCATTGTTCTGAGAGAAGCAGTCAATAACAAGGAACTGAAAGACAGATGGGGAATAAAATATGTGCAAAGAAAAGGCTTTGAAGTGAAAGGAAACAAACAACAAGAACAACAACAACTCTGTGTAACCAAAGAGTATCAGAAGACGGTGAGGTGAGGAAAAAAACGCCAAAAACAAAAGACTTTTTCCTGCATTTAGACTTCTGGGTCAAACTGTTAGTCATAACTGGAGGAAACAAAATTGCTTTAGGACGTCACTGCCTTAAGTGTATGGATTTAAGTAGCACCCTGGCTGAAAGGTTCAACCTCTCACAAGGTAATTTAAGCTATTCTGGTCAAACGTGTTGTGTAAGCTTACCAGTGACATTCCTAGTAAGTGTGCTTATTAAAACTAAAAAGACCAAATCATCTGAGACTGAAATCTTAAGGTGGAAAGATGGATCACTTCATGGGAGTATTTACAATGTGCTGTCTCAGAAACTAAGGCTACGTTCACACAGCAGCCTGAAGTGACCCAAATCCAATTTTTTTTTGCCCATATGCGACCTGTACCTGATCTTTTCATGGCAGTCTGAAAAACATAGATCTGATTTTTCCAAATGTGATCCAGGTCAGTTGGCTATGTGGTCCTGAATCTTTTTAAATGCGGCCTTTGTCTGAAAGGCCAGGTTACATTCATCCGACCTCAATTTCATTAATACTCAAAAAGTCACTATTCTGCATCTTGCTAAGCAGAAGTGGCAAGAAAAACAACTACCATGGCGGACAATAATGCGGACAGTAGTACTCATGTTTAACTATCTTGAAAGGAGAGTGTTTTTAAGGTTGTGACGTAATTGCGTCCTTTAATGAGTCTGTGAAATAGAACAACAAATTTGGTTTAATTCCTCGCTTTATGGCCGAAAGAAACAGCTATACTTTTTTTTAGCATTTTATTTAGTATTACTGAGTATCCGTGAACACTTGGAACCAAACTCCTGTGGTATGTATGCATGGGCATGTTCGTTTATAAAAGATTTACAACTCTTCTTCAGAAGGAAAATATGCTTAATAGCAGGTGTGGGCGGCCCCAGACTCGTCCTACATGGCCTGGATAGAAAAAGAGGTGATGCGAGCCTCATATATCCAGAGGCACCCCGGATCACTGGGACACAAGGAGAGTAGACATATGGATGGCTGCACCCACCTGAGAAGGGTAGAGCAGAGCACCCTGAGCTCAACCCTCAAGGGGCCAAACCTCAAAGGGGCCCATTCTCTGAGGGGCCTGACCCAGAGGCCATAGTGCTGAAGTGCCATACGGCACTGGCCCATGTGCTCCACCGGCGGCCAGTCATGCACAAGATGGATCAGGATGAGAGCTCCAGGGTCAGAGGCCTACAAGGCACAAGGGTGCGTCTGATATCAGACCTTGGAATGACATTAAAACTAGGTTCTATAGTTGCACGTCAGAAAACCAGGAGGATTTACTTGTTGTGGGATGCATTTCCCTTCATTGGATGAGATCCAGTGTTAAAGAAACAAGATCAAGTTACATGTTAAAGTGCTCTGTTTCCCATTGGGTTAATGAGCTGCAAACTGTCAAAAGTGCTAATGAATACTTTACATCTTCAGCTTTCACAGAATAAATGAATGGACATTGAATTTTAGGTGGCTTGAATTAATGGGGCATTCTTATCATATTTCTGATTTGAAATGGGGTACAAGACAAAAGCTTAACAACTAACTAAATATTCAAATGAGTCATACAAAAGACCTCCAAAAAAAAAAAACTCTATAAAAACAAAAATAACTACATGTTGCAGCTAAAAAAAAAAAAGAATGTTCTCTCCCCGATCTTAACTTCAGTCTCCTTCAAACCTTAATAAACCATATTAAAACCTAATATTGCAAATTACATTAGCCTTCTGGAATAGAGTTTATTCTTCTTAATGCCCACAACAGATCAGATCTTTGTAAGCACAATCTTTTTAGAAATTTTAGAGTAAAATGGACTGTAGATTATGTGAAAATAAAACAAATAATAAAAAATTTGAAAAAGAGATATAGCCTTTTAATTTGTACTATTGTATGTTTACCTGTGCCCACTCTCTAGTCTAAATTATAATACTTTAACTGTTGGTAAGCAAATTTATTGGCATTTCAGTATATCTATTATAGGTTAATAGGTTGGTATGGTCATAGATCATTTGTACATTTGTAGTCGGTGGAAACACTCTTAGGGTGGGGGCTCCTGGACCTATGTTACTCGAGACAAACGCTTTCAATAGGGTTTGTATTTTCCAAAAATGAGCTCAAACATATTTATTGAAAGCTTTCCTATTGTTGAGATCGCAGAAGAACCAAACTACACTAATATTTATATGTATGGGTAGTTGGACATTAATGTATTAAAAAAAAAGGATAAATAACAGCTGATTTCAATGCCAACAGCAAGATATTACGCCTCCCTAGTATGGACACATTTCAGTTTCATCTATCGATCAATCAATCCATCCAGAAAAATGTGGATTGATTGATGGATGTCTTTCCTTTCAGCTCCATTAGTGAATATCCTACTTCAAAAGCAGTAAAATGAAATTTAGAAATTTGTCCCACATATTGCCAAAGTCTATGTATTGAAATTATTGGTGGGGACATGTCCACACCAGGCCAAAATTGGTGGAGACATGTCCACACCAGTCCTTCAGAAGTTACGCCTGTGCACAAACTGTTCACAGATTAGCAGAATATACAGTAAACACTTCTCACTGTAAGGGGTTTAATGTTGGAACAAATAGATTTTAGAAAGTGTTTCTTCTGCAGTAACTGTTATTTTATTTTAAATAATGTTAACTATTTGGATTTTCTTATATATGTGGGTTTTTTTTTTAAATAGAAGTATTTGTACATAAAAGTTTTCCTTTCTAAATAAATCAGATTTTATTATTCAATAATTACTCTGCATTTAAATAGCTTTTTGACCAAATGTCTTTTTTACTCTTAAGTTATTTCTTGCATGATGATTGTTGGGGACCAAAGTCGGTGGGGGCATGTCCACACCAGGCTAAAGTCTTTGGGGACCTGTCCACAACAGGCTAAAGTCTTTGGGGACATGTTGGTGGGGACATGTCCACACCAGTCCTTCAGAAAGTTATGGCTGTGGTAGACAAAGTAAATGCATGTGAACAATCTTTAAATCCCATTATTAGGTTATCTTTAAATGGCTTTATTTATGTGTCACCGGACAGAAACTGTGTCACATCTACCGGGTGATTAAGAGGCGTAATAGAGGACTTCCCGTATTGTATTTGGCAAGTGTTTACTGAAATAGGCTAAACTCTCACCATGAAGTTTGAGTTGCAATATTATGAAACAACTGTATGCTTACCTAATTTCATCAAAAAGGCCAGAAGCACCCAGAGAGAAATCTCAAAGGGGAGTTTAACGCTTTCGTAGTTAAAGCTGAGGACGGGGAAAGCCTTCTTGGTGTGGTTGGAGTGTCCCTCCACAGCTCCGCTCCTGTTCGCCTCTCCGTGGGTGTTGGTCTCCGGGGTGCTGGCTGCTCCGAGCGGCAGCACGGAGCCCTCCAGCAGGACGAGTATCGCCAACAGGAGCAGTCCAAGCTCCGGTACAGTCCGAGCGAAACCTGTCCGGTTGAACGGCGCTATCCTCGGTAACATGTTTGGGGAAAAAAAAAAAAAACAATAAACTAGGTAGGAAAAAATAAAAGTCTCCGCTTCAAGTTCGAGGAAGTTGAGCTGACTTCAGCTGTGTGATGATAAAATAGTGATCCAAGAACACCAATAGGTTGAAGTGAACAGTTCAGGTCACCTAGAACCGAACCGATGGTTCATTTTCTCAGTGAACGTTAGCTAGTTGAGGCTGATCGTTGCGTGCAGCAACCAGGTAACCGTCGCCCTCACAGGCCGAGGAAGAAGCAGGAAACGGCAAAGATGCTGGACTTTTTTCCACCTCTGTAAACAATGCTGAAAGGAGACCACCTATTTGTGTCTGACAGGCGCGTTAAACAAGTTCTCCCGCTCCTCTTTTAGTGGCCGTTTGTAAGAAATGTCACAGCTGATGCTGAATGCGGGCGAAGAGATAACCGCATCCACTTCTCCTCCTCTGCGCCCCTTCTTCCTCCGACTCCCCAAGAAATTCGTCCTCGCGCCGCCTGCGGTACCTCAGACACTGACCTTGGGGGGAAACGGCAGCGCTGCCGCCACACATTTTACTGCGCAGCACCAATATTCAAACTTTTAGCCGATTTTTGCGTCAGCGGCATCTTTTAATGTTTAACCGGTGAGGACAGCTCTGTTGCCGCCGGGGCAGCTGAGTCCAAACTGCACTGAGAGGTAATTAAGGGGAAAACATTTGGTGTTGTCTCCTCCGGGTCCTGGGGATTCTGCGGCGACTCGTCGTGTCTCCTGTGATATGTACCTTCTTCCAACCTTCAAACTCACACCCTTTCGCGGAGGTTTTGATGGATAGAAGGAGGAGGAGTGGTGAATTAAACAGGAGGAGGGGGGAACCTCGACTATAGCGACACCTACAGGCCGGGAGGAAAGCGCCTCTGAATGTATTCCTTTTTTATTACAAGCTCTTTCTTGTCGGTGTCTTTCTTTGTGGTTGTTGTTTTTTTTTTTTTTTTTTTTTTTTTTTTATGGGGGCACATAACAAAATATTTGCAAAAAACGAAAAAAAGTGTAAGAGCATTTAATCCTGTATATTAAGTTTTAACCACAAAGTCAATGATTCTCACCCATTACATAACAAACCCTGTATCTTAGTATGACTGCAGCTTAAACTAATTTTAATTTCTAAATAATGGTTAGGGTAAACTCTAAAGGGAAAATTGTCCAGGGGATTAATCATTTACAATCTTTATTTTAAAGGTGCATTTGCCCTTGATTTGAGCAGGTAAATAAGATTATCTGCCTATTGAGTGAGTATTTTTCCCCCTTATAATAAGCTAATTATGTATGATGCACTTGAAATAATGGAACTTTTTTTTTTTTTTTACTAAATAAACTTATTCTATTGGGATGTCTTGAATGTCTGGTCAAATCAAGAGAAAATACAATTAATTTAAGAAAAATTGACTTACTTAGATACTTCATTGCAGGGTACGTTTTGTGTACAGGGAAAAAAAAGGGGCAACAAGCTCTTCTACAGGAACACTGTGTTGGCCCCTATCTAGAACTTCCTATTTTAATTGTAAAGTAATTTATTTTAATTATTTAAATCATTTGAAAGCATTATACTAGTAAAATAATATATTGATTAATTACACTCATAGTAAAATGTTATACAATGCCAACAGAACAGATTTCATTATAGAAACATTACATAATAGACAAGACTGCTGACTTGACTCGGTCTCTGACACCCCCCAAAATGAGGAAAATAATAAAACAAAAATAAAAAATGCTAAAGAAGGCTTGACAGATTTCAGTTTCAAAGCAACTAAGAGATTTTAGAGGAAGTGCATCTGCATCAGCAGTACAACCTTGCATCTCCGGCAAGTTTATAAGACAGGGATTTTATGTTTAGTTGATGCTTTAACTGCCACCATATAATTCAAAATCCAGGGTGTGGTCACAAGCCTTGTGTTAAGTCCCAACTAAAGCGTAGATGTTTTCAGAAGCTAAAGAGCAAAGGGCCTGCCTTGTTACCTAGTGGTCAAACTTCTCTTTGGGATTAAAGTAAATAAGGCATTTCATTTGGAAATCAAGTTTTTCAATACCGTAAGGAGATGTGAGAGGCACAGAATCTGCATCACTTTTACTGGGGTAGCAGCATTAGCATGATAACTGACCAGTGGCGGTTCCAGAAAATTTGCATGAGGATGGTCAAGCAGGAGCCAATGTGCACTTAGGGGTGGCTGTTAACTGATAGGTGCCAAAAACATCTTATAGTCAATCTGCACTGATTAAAATAAACCAACAGAAAAATGACATCTATATTTTCCAGATAAATGACGTAAGACAGTTCAGATTTTCATTATGGTCCTTGATGATAAAGAAATGCGTATATTTATACATTAGTGCCGTTTAAATGAATGTATTGTTTTACATTAAATTATACATTAAATGGGTTGAGCAAGGTTTTTTATCTTTAGAAAAGACTCCTACAGCCGGGGACTGCAGAGACAAACTTTCCCCTATTAAACATAATAAACATTCTGTATTAGTCCTCTTTATTTGTGGTTTATCACTGTGAATAATTATTTGCTGCATTTTTGTATTCAGTTTTTGGATAATACACCAGTGTTAAAGTGTAAGAAATCCCCATCATGTATCAGCGCTGCTATTATCAGGCTTGGTGGAGAACTGCTTGTTCCAAGGGTATCAAATTAAATCCCAGGGGGATCAACAAATAACCTGGTAGGGGTGGCCAGTGAATGGCCGGGGTGGACCCTTGGCCACCAGGACCCCCCTCTAGATCAGCCTATTGTTTTTAAAGCAGAAAGTCAGCACGGGTGTCAAGGTTTTGGGAATCATTTTTTCTTCATAATTTTGATGCTGCTTTCTAGATTTAGTGCCACAAAATCAGAACCTGCTTAATGAGTTTAGAATTACTGTTAAATCCTGTATATATATATATAATCTGTAAGGTACTATAAAGAAGAGGGGACACCAAGACATACAATGCAGATAAGCTGAAGGCTAATTTTAAGGGAAGGTGGGTTTTATTTTTCCAGGCATCCAAGAATCACAGGCTGATTGCATTTATGTCTCACCACATCTAATCCAGTGATTACAGCAGAGGAAGTCCTGATTAACAACTGAGTGCCTACTGTATAGTATGTCATCACACTTTTCAGTTGGCAAATTTTCCAGATTTAAAACTATGTCCTTGTTTGTATAAAGTAAAATAAAAATTTTGTCAGAGAATGCATTTGTTTTATTAGTGAGCAGTAATTCAGAAAAAAAAATAGAAATAAACATTTTGAATATATCAGCATATATCTAATGAATCAACATGAGACAAGTTTACTTTTTTTTAAGTTAAGTCAATGGAGTAAATTCTGTTTTGTGTGATATACTGAAAATGCTTAGATGCATTTTCCTGTATTTCTCCTCTGACTCAGTCAGGGTCAGGACCCAACAGCTCACTTAATTGTCAAGGACTCAGAATGTAGGATCCAGAATTCAAGCAGACAGATCAGGGTGATTTCAAAACAAGCATTTTTAAAAGGTAAACGTGTGGCTGCTCTTTCAAAGTTCAGTTTGAGCCCAGAAGTAGGAGTGAAGTCCGGAGGGATGGTTTCTACATAGCTTGCGATGGAGCTGCTTCCAGAGTTCCAGGAAAGAGGTGGAGCAACGAATGCAGAGCACACAGAAGAACAGGAGAATCCAGAGGGATAATCCAAAGTAGAGTCAAAGCAGGAGCAGGTTTCCAGGCCAGAAGATCAGAAGTCCAAAGAAGGGATTTCCAAGCCGGGGTCAAAAGACAGGTCCAAGGTGGTTAACAGGCAGAAACCATCTAACAGTCTGGGAACAGATCAGGCACACAGAGCAGAACAAGGGGCAACCAAAAACCTCGAAGTCCGGGGGCAGAAACTAGTCAGGATCAGATAATCAGAAACTTACAAGAAGGCTAGAAAACTCTCACACAGCTCAAAAAATCAGGCACCAATGGCTGGGAAAAAGGTAGCTTAAATAGAAGCAGGAACAGGTGGATCTAATGAGAGACAAAGAGCACTTGGTGGAGCTGAGCAGATGTTAAAAAGGAGCCAAATCCAGCTATTAGTGCCAAGATCATGACATTAATGCAGGGGTTTAAGAGCCTCTTCAGAAATTAAATGATTAGAACAAAACAATCATGATAAGGCATATGTTTTATTAAATGTCTGAAGAAAAAAACAGGAGGAATCTTTTCCTGTTATCAATCTGTGGGTAAAATAGACAGCTTTGGAGTCTTCTTCTGTTAATGTGAGTGCCAAAAGCTACAAACATTTCAGGTGATTTAGTAACTTCTGCTTTAGAGTGGCATTCCTTCCCTGCTTTTTGTATTAACAGGCTTAGACACTGCCCCAACAATTTGACTTGCTCACATTGTGAATGGTCACTGCTGTAAGATGGAAGACAAGTGGCGTTCAGAGGCAGAAACAAATACAGAGAAGAAAGAAGATCTGTTTAAATCCAGTCGGACTGGTTACCCCTTTAACTATCCTGCTGCCTGCTCCGTGCTTTAAAGGAAAGTTACTACCAGGCATTAAAAATGAGGAGAAACTAACAAAGCAGGTTTATTGGTCATTTGAGGTACCACAACTCCTGGCTGTCCAAAGCTATGGGATCTCAGAGAATGTTCTTTCAGTTGTTTAATTGTGTCCAAAAAAACTTAAGATCAGTGACATGGCACAAAACTGCAGCCATTCTAAATGGCAACTTTCTGCCTTTAAGAAGCACTAATGGAAATCAGGAAAAAACAAGGAGGTAGTCTATAACAGTCACTTTTTTAGCTCAAGCTGAGGGAAAAGTTATGGGATCACTCAATTCAGAGAAAATATGAAATTAGGAAATTAAATTAAGAAAAAAAAAATAACAAAAGAATGATTCAACACAGCACTATTACTTTGCTGCACCACCTCTACCAGCTTGCAGCGTCTGAGGCAAGGACTTAATGACTGACCAGCAGTAGTCTTCATCAATCTGTCTCTGACTTTCTCTGATTGCTTTTGCCAGATCAGCCTTGCAGGTTGGAGCATTGTCATGGACCATTTTCTTCAACTTCCACCATAGATATTCAATTGGATTGCATTCTGGACTGTTTGCAGGCAATGGCATTGATTTTGTGTGTCTTTCTTCAAGGAGTGTTTTCACAGTTTGGCAAAATGCATTATTATGTTGGAAAATAATTGAATCATCTCAAAATATCCATTCAATTGATGGTATAAAAAAAGTGTCCAAAAATGTCAACTTAAACTTGTAACTTTATTAAATATGTAATGAGAGCCATTTCTCCATTTCTCCTCAATGGCTATTCAAATTTCTTGTTTGTTGTCTGTTGTTCTTCAGGCAGTCGTTTTTTTTAAATCTCATATAGATTGGAGATTCATCACTAGTTATGACTTTCATTCAGCCCCCCACAGTCCTCAATTGCCCATCATTAGCCCACTGTAACAATGTGTTAATTTCTTTATGTGTTAGTTTTATATAACAGTCTTTCCATTCCTACTTTTCAGCTTATCTGTCAGGGTTGCTGTGGGGCTGGGGCTACCTCCAGCAGTCTATGGGCAAAAGGCAGAGAAAACCCTGGTCAGAACGCCAGGCTACCGCAGGGCAACACAGAGACATTCAACCCTGCAAACACACACTCAAGGACAAATTACCAAAAAACCTAACAGTCATGTTTTTGGACTGTTAGAGGAAGCCGGAGTACCCAGAGACAACCAACGCATGCACGAGGAGAACATGCAAACTCTATGCAGAAGAATTATACGGTAGGTCTGGAATGAAACCCC